TACTGAAGGTTTTGTATTGTAAACATAACTCAGGATGTGAATTCACTATCGATACTGAAGGTTTTGTATTGTAAACATAACTCAGGATGTGAATTCACTATCGATACTGAAGGTTTTGTATTGTAAACATAACTCAGGATGTGAATTCACTATCGATACTGAAGGTTTTGTATTGTAAACATAACTCAGGATGTGAATTCACTATCAACACTCCTATGATCAGATTTTTATACATATCTAGGAGATATAACATTAAATCCAGTGTTAAAAACAGATTTTACCTTACTGCAGGGATTCCAGTTCTCATTGATCACCTACCTTGGCTTTTCTTGTGTTTTCATTTGTCTGTTAATATCAACCATCCATTGCAAAAGATCTCGCACCATCATTAGGAATCGGTACAGGTCGCTAGCATCCGCAAGGTCCGTCTTACGGGACTGTACTTTGAAATGGAGGTTCTTCCACGCTTCGACGACCTCACGTTCTCTGTTCTGGATCTCCAGTGAGCGGTCCCCAGCGTACCCTGCCTGTAATTTTACAGACTCTTCTTGCACCATTTGTACATTTGAACCAAGTGTGACAAGATCATTTTCAAAGTTGGCGTGTTTTCTTTGTAAGGCTGCAACACTTTGAGCGTCTCTTCCAAGTTCCTCTGGAATATGGTTTTGTTTTTCCTGTATGACGGAATGAGAACGAGAGAAATATAAGATACTGCTATATGATAAGTTATATGTGCTCATGGTCATTTTCATGGGGGTTTTCAAGAAACATTGTGGAAATTTCAGTTATGTGACTTTTGTCTGATATTCAATTACAAGTCTAAATTACAAAAACAAAACAATAATCATTATCCATTTAATCAACATCAATCAAAATATTGTGTCAGAAACGGTTTCAAATGTTTGACAGAATCATCAACTCTCATCGTCTGCACTCCTTTAAAATTCTGTAGAAACAAGTTTTGTTTACCTTTTATCTGTGGCAATAGAAGACCAGAAATCAGGAATCACAACTTACCAAAATTCTTTCAAGGGTGTCTTTACATTCAGAGTAAAATTTATGAAGTTCCCAAGAAGCTTGAAGCATTTGTGTTCTTGTATCAATAAGTTCTAATAAGTCATTCCACGCTTCATTCAAATTGTCCTTCCATTCCGCAATAGCGGCTGCATCAGAATGTTCTGCAGCTATTAACTGATCACAATTTTCATTGGCTGCTGACACCCTTTCTGTTCCTATGCTTTCTGTATCACGAGCGAATTCCTTAAATCTCTCCTTCAGCATCTGTTTGACAAAGAAAAATAGGATATAAATTACTTAAATACATAAAAGTTTAAAGACATTAAAGAAAAACTGTACATCAAAAATAGGTTTTAACAATTTTTAAAGAAGAATCTTTGAATCATTTGCAAGCAACTACTTTGTTTATATTGTTGACATACTCACAGACACATGTTCATAATCTTGTCCGAGTTCATGTGAGCCAGCCACCAGTTCTCGTTCAGCGATCCATTGCATGATATCGTCAATCTCCCTCTGTAACACGTACAGCTTGAGAACCTCTTCCAACTTGCTCTTCCTCTCATGTGATAAGTCTTTAAGACCAGCATATAACTTGTCAACCTGGGACTGCCGTACAGCTATCTGGTCGCTGAAATCATCATCACAATTTTGTTAACATCAGGACAATATGTGTACAGTTTAGGGGGTGGGAGGGTGGGGTGGGAGGGTGAATAATTTTTTTTACAGTTTATAAAAAGAGAAATGATTTAAATAAATACAAAATGCAAAATTTCGAAAAATAAAGGAAAATTTCAGATGCTCTCAGTCCAAGTCCCACAACCATATTTCATGTCCTCTAAACTAATCAAGTCCTTATAAGATGTATTAAGATGCATCATAGGCACACTCATATTTCATAATGGTCTAATTTGATCTGATATGTGTGACTTTCAACACTTTTCATCATTTGTCATATTTTGGCAAAATTTGGAGTTTTACATTTTTATAATTGATTCTGTTTACATTTTTTAACAACTTCAATACTATCTGTGTCTCCAAATATGAATTTTGAGTAACTTTTATAATTTTTAAGACTGATAATGTTTGGGTGATCTAAATACCTTTCAGGATGTTCGGTTTCTATGAGGTTTCTGCTCCTCTCGCCCAGTTGTCGGACCATGTCAGCGTAGTCCTCTACAGCATTCTCCAGCGCCTGGTGTTTCTTCATGAAGTTCTGAGCACCAATCTCATCCTTGGCGCGCTCGTCTCCCATCATGTATAGTTCTTGTTCACTCATCCATGCCTCAGCCTCCGACGCGTCATAGTAGTACTATAGAGAAACATAAGCAATTGAAGAAATGATTTATCAGATTTTTTATTTCAAAGTTATCAATTGCTTATTTCATGATCATAACTTAAAAAGTATCAAAGTGCTGCCACACTTACCTGTTGTGCAATGTCGGAGAGATTCAGCCTGTCCTTCCGTTTCTCCACTGCATCATTGAGATCTTTCCAGCGCTTGAGAAGATCATCAATGAGTGCCCTAAACTCCTCAGACTGTGGGTGTTCCTCCGCAATCAGCGTCTGTCCCACATCTACCACCGACATAATCCTTGGTTCATGGTTCTCTATCTCCGTTTGTAGAGACTGCAAACAGGGGGGACAACTCATCAGTTACAGGTAAAGTCACAGGGGTAAAAGCATGCAAGACATAAGTGTACGACCAGATCCTTCAGGACACCTCATCACATTACAGTAATACAGCGTCATAACTGTTTCCCTATATCATCACATTACAGTAATACAGCGTCATAACTGTTTCCCTATATCATCACATTACAGTAATACAGCGTCATAACTGTTTCCCTATATCATTTTAAGACCGAATGCAATTTCGAAACTATACAAAACTGTTAATACAAGATACAGATTTCTTACATAAGAAAGTTATTTTCAACAGCAAAAACTTTTTTATTAGGTAATAGTTTACTGTTTGAAAAAGTATGGTCTTTATTCTATAATTATTTCTGTTTTTATGTCAAAACTAATACCAATGATGAACATTTTGTTACCTTATTAATAATTAATATTAGAAAATAAAGTGATTATGAAAACTATGTGATGATATGAAATGATAAATGATATTATTCCTTCTGAATGTCAGTGAGATTTCGTAATTTTCAAACCATGGCAAAAATAATCTTGCCAAAAAACCCATTAGGACGTTATACTGATTCTGTTAATTCTGACACTAAAATTTGTATATATGTCAAATCTGAAGATTTGTTCAGCATGCTGAACATCTACAGCTATATGATAACATATATGTTATAATAAACAACCCATCCAAATGATGTTCATATAGCATACATGATTGTGACGACGCTGAGATATGAGGATACATTTTGCACAAGAAGGATTCAAGAGGCAGTCTCAGACTTCTCTCAAGAACTATTTTTTTTAATTTCATGTTTAAAAAAAAAATCAATGTCAACAGCTTAAATCATTGCTAGCCTCCTGTTCAGAATGAGTAACATTTTGATAAATTTATACAGACAATAAACAGCAATAGTTTGACTTCGTCATGTCTTGAATCCTTTCAATTGATATGATAGTGTTTGACATAGATTAAAAACAAATGGCCCGCATATTAACCTCTGATCAATCAATCTTCTCGAGTAATCATGTACAATCACAGAAATGTAATCATGTACAATCACAGAAATGTAATCATGTACAATCACAGAAATGTAATCATGTACAATCACTGAAATGTAACACATCGTAACATAACACATATTTTTTGTGCTGAAAAACTATTCTACACTGAAATGATCTTTTTTACTATTCTGCATTTTGCATTAGCCAAGAAGAAATCTTATATTTCTTAAAAATACTAAGATTTCTTTGAAATCAAATTTCTTTCTCTCTCCAGATTTCAGTCGATCATAACAGATAGCCATCTGTTCTTTAATTTTTGTTTTGTTCCCAATATTATTTGTGAAAATTATTCTAATTTGAAACAAGAGATCCCAGAGGGATCCTGGCACCCACCATTGTACTATCTACATTAGTTCTTTGTCAGTTTGATCTTTTCTCTTCTTTTCTCTAATCTGTTTGATTGAGTCATGTTAACAGTAAATTCACCTTGAGGTAACTTTTGATCTTAACTTAATACTGCTGTGTATGAAAGCCAGCCTTTAAAGTGAGTTTGTCATTTCTCATATTTACTAGTACAGTACTTAATGTAAAAGAAATAGAACCGATCATTGCAATATGAGAAAGATCTGTTTAGGTCTTCCTTCGGGCATTTAGTTTTTATGACCGGTCTCAAAATAAAACATGCACAACGAGGGATCAGGGGGAACCTACATATCAAATTTGAAGATCCCTCAGGTTATTCCTCGGAAATAGCACTAAATGTCAAAAATCAAAGATGGCCGCCAGTCGGCCATTTTGTTTATCTGATCTGTTTCAAAAGTAAACATGAACAATAAAGGACAGTGGGGACCCTGCATATAAAATTTGAGAAAGAACCCTCACGTCCTTCCTGAGAAATAGCGATAACAAACCTTCACTGTAAAAATCCAAGATGGCTGCCTATCGGCCATTTCGTTTATCTGATCATTCTCAAAATTAAACGTGCACAACTAGAGATCAAGTGGAGCATACATAACAAATTTGAGAAAGATCCCTCAGGTACCTCCTGAGAAATACCGATAACAAGAATTGTTTAAGGACAGACGCAGGGCGAATTGAATAACCCACCATCAGATAGATGACGGTGGGCTAAAAATCTACCGATTGGAATTTAAATAGCTTCTAGTTAATTCCAGGATATATTTCCATGGCTGTGAATTGTTAACTATAGATGATATTGGTTAGTAGTTCGTGCGCAATAATAGTTGGTTTACAAGTATATGTGGTAGTTTGTTATTCCTCAACATTGTAGCAACTCCTAGCATGATGTGCTGTACATGTTTAAAGGCAATATATATAAATAGATATATATACATATATATATGTAATAATCTACATCAACTCCTGATACAATTATACGGTCATATATCTTACGTACAAAATGGCGTCCACTGCCTCGGTTTGTTGGTGGCTGTGACCAGATAAAACACAATCCTCATCATTTCAACAGCCCTACACATCTACACTGACTTAGACCTGACCTTTAACCTCAAATCTGGTCAAGTGACAGTAACAAAACAAAGGTACAATTCACTAGTATTGTTCCCTAATTGTACTGCAATTTGATCAAATTCAAAGGCCTTTTTTTTAAACAAGTCAAAAATTGAATGCCATTATTTTTCCATTACATGTTTTTAGTTTATCTACGTATTGTTTAAACAGTTTGAAGTGGTATTTCATAAGATCACAGAGAGTGTGACTCTAGTCTCTGTACACCTGGTCAATAATTTATAAATTAACATAATTTCTGTTTGTCCTTTTGACAAGAGAAAATTTTGATACTGATAGCTGATATAAAACCTTCTTCACTGCTATCCTCTTTGTCATGGTGATTTCACCAAAACTCACCTGATTTTTCTTTGTCAACAGTTGATTGCTAAGAAGACTGTTTCCGAAATTGTTGGACATTGCGATAGGCATTTTCTCATCTATCCAGAGTTTTTCATCCTCAACGTCCCGGATGAATTGATGAATGCGTTTAACCTTCTCCAGCTCGTTTCTTCGCTTCACCAGTGGTTGTTGAATGTGGGCGAACCTTAAAGGACATATCATGTGGTGTATAATTTAGAAATCTGAATTTTTTCACACTCGCCGAGGCCATGAAAAGCACTTCTGAATAAATTGACAACAGTATAAAAGGAACAAATGAAACTTTTAGAAATATGAAGATGTGAATTTGATGGTTTTGGTCTTTTAAGGTTTAACAACCAAGGTCATTTACTAATTTCAATTTATTTAGGCAGTTGTAGAAAAGTTTACTTTTGAATAAAAGAAGCAATCAAAACCACACAATCTTCTATAACCTATCAGCTCTACAAAGAAGACTTTCTGTGATGTAGGTATCCAATTCAACATCACAGCATATTTTATTGACAAAGCCAGCATGACACTATACGCTTAAAGTAGACCCCTAATATTGAACAACGTATGATACAGACGAGAGCAAAACAAACCTTTCTGCCACGGCAGCCTTCCTGGCTTCAATGACAGCTTCCTGCTTAGGATCTACGCGGCGTAAGATGACGGCTTGCTCGTCCAACTCTGTAACTTGCTGTTCTTTCATCTTCATCTGAGTTTCAAGTTGCTGAAAGTGAAAAAAATCACAACATTCCAATGATATTCAAACCTTGATTTGGTTAAAACTTCCCCTTCAGCAGATAAAAAAACACCTAGAATATAACAACCATTGAGTTTCAGCAAACATCTCGAACACAAAATCATTAGTAATTCACAAGCAAAAACAAATACAAAAGTTAAAAGCTTGCATCCAAAAATATACATGTAAATTATCATCATACAGACAAATCAAATAAATCTCGCATCACAGCTTTGTTTTGAGTTATAAAATGACCCTGCAAGATAATATAAGCCATAAAAACAGCAGTGAATTCTATTTTGATTTGTTGCATCTTAGAAGAGTACAATAAATCGTTGTAATCAAGCATGTTGGTACTTACCTCTCAAGAGCTGTCAATGTCAAAATGAAGGAAAGTTTCAAAGATAATGAGCAAGCTATTGAAAGCTCATCAAGCTTCCCTACTTTATAACATCGACACATGAAAAGAAATCAAATTACCACGGTACAAAGTCTGAATCATCAACATGTTTGCAGACGAGACAATTTTCATGTAAATACTTCACATAACTAAGGACCATTGGAGAGATTAATGACTACTGTCTCAGGAAAACAGGCATCACTTTCAATAAATCAGACATAAATCTTAGATGAGAGATAGTGCGAAATTCTAAAGAAGTTGAGTGACAAAAAAAAACTACAATGTAAAAATATCACAAACACTAAAGACCAACTCCTAGCTCCAGTACAAATATCACAAAGACTAAAGACCAGCTCCTAGCTCCAGTACAAATATCACAAACACTAAAGACCAACTCCTAGCTCCAGTACAAATATTACAAACACTAAAGACCAACTCCTAGCTCCAGTACAAAAATCACAAACACTAAAGACCGACTCCTAGCTCCAGTACAAATATCACAAAGACTAAAGACCAGCTCCTAGCTCCAGTACAAATATCACAAACACTAAAGACCGACTCCTAGCTCCAGTACAAATATCACAAACACTAAAGACCAACTCCTAGCTCCAGTACAAATATCACAAACACTAAAGACAAACTCCTTTCTTCCACTACTGTAAACCAAGCTTAATTTCCCTTTATTGTAGTTGGGAAAATCATTACTATTACAATAATGTAGTTTTGATAATGATAGTTCAGCTTTTCACCGATTCTGTCTAATTTATCAATAACATCTGTCCCTGATTAACTGTTTTGTTTCTGTATCACTGTAGTAAATGAAGTACTATCTTGACGTCAATCACTTGCTCGAGATGATCCTATTTAATGACATGTGATCATGTGTGCTGTCCTGATTCAGTGCCTAAACTTACACCCTGTTTCTGCATGAGAAGGTTGACGGTGGTGAGATCCTTGGCACTCTCCTCGGAGATGATCTGGGTCTCGAGCTGGTTGATCCAGCCGTCAATATCGTCACAGCTCTGTTGGTAAAGGACCGCCCTATTGGTGTCAAACAGACGCTCGGCCTTGGACTTGGTGGTGGTTTCCAGCTCGTCCCACTGCTCAGACAGACTGGCCAGAATCGGTTCAATCTGCTCCCGTGTCTCTGGCTTTTCCTTCAGCAATGTCTCCCCAGACTACAACAAAATACATTGTGGTCAAGGTCAATTCTATGTTATGCTTTCAATGATTGCAGTTAATCACCTAGTTTGACCAGCTGGACTGTAAGTTTTCATCAGTTCATGAACTAGTGGTCTGGAATTGTTTACTGCAAGCTCTGACAGTTACAGGTCTTCCAGGCTTTCAAAGTAATGTTGCATTTTAAGTAGATAAACACACCTTGAATGATAAACTAGACGGCCATATAACTTCCATCAAAGGATGTTTACAAATACATATGTATACTGTATATATAAATACATATGTATACTGTATATATAAATACATATGTATACTGTACATATAAATACATATGTATACTGTACATATAAATACATATGTATACTGTACATATAAATACATATGTATACTGTTTATATAAATACATATGTATACTTTATATAAATACATATGTATACTTTATATATTTCCACGCAATTAAATTTTGCACAGGATGAGTTAAGGCTCTGTTGTAACGTTATTCTATACATTTTTTGCTAACAAAATAAGAAATGAAGAAAGCCCCTGCTTACCTCCATGAGGTGTTGAAGTCGCTCCTTGTTGGCGGCAATCTCACGCTCAAAGGCCTGGTGACGAAGGTATTTACTGTGCAGGTTTTTGGCATCTCTGTACGTCTCATCCTGAGCAGCAGCCATTTTGTCATGAAGCCAGTCTCTCAGCTGAAAAACATATATCATCTTAAGTAAATCGATCTTACAAGAACATTTGATAAAAATAAAGTTTCCCTACTACCAAATATTGTATAGAAGCTTAGAAATGTTGGCTGCAGGATTTTGAGCACAGTAATTTGCAATTTTTTGGCTTGTCCAGTTAAGTGGCAGAAGTTGTGAGTCTTACCTCGTCACATTCCTGTAGGAACTGTTGTAACAGAAGCTGGTCTTTGAGACGCTCCAACTGTTCATAGACACGCTGGCGATTCACGTCACGTCTGTAATTTACACAAAATGAAACAGATCTTGTCAGATAATAGGAATGAATCAAAATCCAGATACAAACATTTAATGCAATAAACAAACAACAACATTCAGTGTAATGATTCTGGGAGATCCTATGGTAAAACTTATGATAAATGTTTATATTTTGATTAAAACTGAGGTGATACAATATGCTTGGGGTTCATATTTGAGTTCATACTACATAAATTGGAAGTTTTTAATTAAACCCTTGCTGTCTTGGTGAAAGTTGAATACATTATCCATCATGCCAATCTTTCAATCTTCGTGTGTTAAAAGTAAAAACAATCATTTACATAATAAAAAAAAACTGTATAACACTCGGGATTTGAATTTTTAAGACTGTTTTACCCTGAACAGCTGGTAGCCAGATGAACTCACCTCTCATTGATGTTTTCAGCCTTTTTGTGGATTTTATCAGCAGCATAGTGGTTGTCTTCAATCAGACGATTAGCGAACTGTAAAACCGCATTGATCTTCTCGTCATTCGCATCCGTTGTGGTGATGAATGCCTCATGGGCTTTGATAAGGTTTTCAGCAACCTCCAGGGTATTCTGTCAAAATACACAGCCATAATAGAGACTGGACAGTGGTCAGCACTCTCTTGACCCTTCACACATTACTGACTAGACTGAATAATTACCTGGCCAATACATACAGGTTACAGGTAGGGAAAAACAAAGCTAAACAATTCTAACTCAAGTTACAATCCTCATGTCTACCACAGGTAAATCCTTTTGGAAATCTTCAGGTCAGGCAAGAAATTAAAATCTTTGTTCTTTTAAAAAACAAATTGTAGAGTAGCTCATCAGGTAGAGTGTACATAGAAAGTTACATCCTACTAATGAGATGTCAGTTGTGTATTGGAGCAAGCAACTTATTAATGGCTCAGAACACTTCCAGAAACATCATATATTCATCTTTATCTCAGATACAAACAGGTCACATTCATCCCCATACCTATCTCAATTTTCACATTCATCTCCATATCTATCTAGATTTTCACATTCATCCCCATATCTATCTCGATTTTCACATTCATCCCCATATCTATCTCGATTTTCACATTCATCCCCATATCTATCTCAATTTTCTATCAAATGAAGAAAGCTGTAAAATCTCATTAGGAACAATGGACAGTTACAAAACTCAATGAAGTAGCCACCAGAAGCTAGTTTGTAACCATACACAACAATTGTGGAGTAAAGTGTTTCATAGTTCAGAATGGTACAATGTGTGTTGCTGGCACTCGTCCAAACTGAGGTTGTAAACATGACGACTCTTGCTGTGTCAGACACGGACGAGCCTGGCAGGCGCGGGGGCGATGTCTATTACACAGGCTAAATATACAACACTACATGGCAACACCTGGTGACTCACATAATGTTTGTGTACTTTTATATTAGATATAACTACTACATCATTTAGCACAGAAATCAAATGTGAACCTATACAACAATATCACAGTCTCACTAATACCTCAATGGCAAGACCATTTAGTCCCTTTACAAATACTCCAAGTTCAGCATACTATCCTACAATTCTGCACTTAAAAGAATACAAAACAAAATCATGGTAAAAAAACAAGTTCATATTCTGTCCTAATATAAAAGAAAAGCTCCTATTTTACTATCTCCAACACCAGCAAAAATATAACCAAATGACCATGATCATTAAGCTCACTGAGGTGTCATGTCCTAACAAGAAACAATGAGAACTGATGGTTTTCTGTTTAATTTGACAAAAATGTTTCATTTCAGCTCTAGATCTTCTCTTGGAAATATTAAAATCATTTATCAATAGTTACTCTCTTTTGAATGATTTATGCATTTTACACAGAACAGGAGACAATATTAGAGTGTAAGAAAATGTATACATCTTTTTACACATACTACTACAATTAATAGTGGTAGTGGTTCAAGAAATGATACACAAGGCGGTCGTGACATGTGAGGCTGTCTGGTAGTGTCCTCAGTAATGTCTAACGTGTGTTGTAACAATATCTACACATAGTGATGATCAGACACGTGACGCTAGTAGGAGACAACAGAAAGTGGATCACAAAGAAAAAGAAAAATGTCTGTACAACACAGAAATAATCAATTATCCGACAACTTCTATTCTATTATGAAAATCAGTTAATCAACCACTTCTATCTTAAACAAAAAAGTTGTTAAAGTTTGAAATTTTGAATTAAATCAACGAGGAATACACAAAGTCCAGGTACAAAATGGAGCAAAAGAGGGGCACTTGCTCTATAAATTTGCAGTACCTTTTGCACTTTTGATAAAAAAATCATAATAGCAGGATTTTTACTCTGTAATATAGGAACAGTATTTAAGCATTCTGGAGAAAAACATCACGCACAACCATGATATACAGCAGGATTGTGTACCAGAGGTACTACATAATATAATCTTTCCACGATGAAGAGAACATATCTTAAGACTGAGGCATCATTTGTGATCGTAAGCTAGAACAACATGATGATTAAGTAACAGGACAGACAAAATTATCACATCAAGATGAAGCGGGAGTTGAGAAAAATCAGAAAAAAAGAAGAAGAAAAAATCCAAAATAGCAAAAAACACCAAAATAAAATTCACTACAGGTTAAAATCTAAACCAAATCATAGCATGTAAAAAACGCTACCAATATCCAGTTTGAAAATAAATATAAATTTACTCCGGAGGTACAACGTGCTGTACAGCGGATGGTCGATAAACCACACGCTGTCCAGCGATTGGCCAACCAATCACACACATCAGTGTTTACCTGTTTATCAAGATGTCCTACGGTGCTCTGTATGACAAAATAAGGGACGTTTAAAACATAACAACGTCAGCCAAGAAAGAAGGGGACATTTAAAACATAACAACGTCAGCCAAGAAAGAAGGATAACATGCTAGAAATTCTTCTAGAATTGCAAATCTGAGAGCAGACTCACATTTTCCAAGCTTCAGATAAATTTAACATTGGTCTTCATTTGTTTAAACTTTACAAATCAATCTAACATGAAATTAACTATCATCTTGACTTCTGCAGGATTCTATTCAAGGTTATGCTGTTTTTGTGAATAACAATTACAGCTATGAGAAGTGAATCTGCCTCAGACACAGCAATTGGGCACATGATGAGGGGGAGATGACATGATGTTTTCACTAAAACACAAGATTCATAAATACAATTCTACAATGATTGCAGTACATCTGATGTCTGTGAATAAAAAAGTCATTCCTAACGATAACCTTCTCTAGTTTATTTCCCATTAATTTTTATGATTGCACTTGTAAAGACTTGGGTACATGCTTGTACAGGTGATAAAACTTACCGGCACTTCTTCCTTGGATAAGAAGTTTTCTTGTTGGTTCAGTAACACTTCAGCTTGCTTGGCATCTCTTAAATACATCTGAAAAGACATTGTATAAAGTATAAATGACAGTCATCAGGGTCATCAGTGCCCTCCAAATATCTGTATTAGAGTTATACACATAAGGAAGGGAATTTCCTAAAAGAAATTATGGATATCACTTGTTTCTGAGAATGAATGTTACAGTAGACCTGGAGCGGCCAGTAAGTTGAGATTGTGAGAGTGAGACCTACCTGTAAGTTGCGACTCTGTGAGAGTGAGACCTACCTGTAAGTTGAGACTATGTGAGAGTGAGACATTCCTGTAAGTTGAGACTTTGTGAGAGCGAGACCTACCTGTCAGTTGAGACTATGTGAGAGTGAGACATACCTGTAAGTTGACTCTGTGAGAGTTAGACATACCTGTAAGTTGAGACGCTGTGAGTGTGAGTCCTACCTGTAAGTTGAGACTCTGTGAGAGAGAGACATACCTTAAGTTGAGACTCTGTGAGTGCGAGACCTACCTGTAAGTTGAGACTATGTGAGAGTGAGACCTACCTGTAAGTTGCGACTCTGTCCGAGTGAGACCTACCTGTAAGTTGCGACTCTGTGATAGTGAGACATACCTGTAAGTTGAGTCGCTGTGAGAGTGTGACATACCTGTAAGTTGAGACTTTGTGAGAGCGAGACCTACCTGTCAGTTGAGACTATGTGAGAGTGAGACATTCCTGTAAGTTGAGACTTTGTGAGAGCGAGACCTACCTGTCAGTTGAGACTATGTGAGAGTGAGACCTACCTGTAAGTTGACTCTGTGAGAGTGAGACATACCTGTAAGTTGAGACTTTGTGAGAGCGAGACCTACCTGTAAGTTGAGACTATGTGAGAGTGAGACCTGCCTGTAAGTTGAGACTCTGTGAGAGTGGACCTACCTGTAAGTTGAGACACTGTGAGTGTGAGACCTACCTGTAAGTTGACTCTTTGAGAGTGAGACATACCTGTAAGTTGACTCTGTGAGAGTGAGACATACCTGTAAGTTGAGACTCTGTGAGAGTAGGTGTTGACGGTTTTCCCACATTTGCAAAAGCTCTTCCCAGCCATTGTCCAAGGCCTGCAGTCTCTGTACAAACCCACACAATGACATTTACAAACATTCAACCCTTGATGCGTTTTTTCTGTTGTTGAGTGATGAATCTATTCATTAAGACAATTTATCTGAATAGATTATCTAAAGAACAAGTAATCAGGAATTTATGTATATGTCCTCCAAAATAAAATTCATTTGATGTTTCCTTAATTTTTCAGTTTTTGTTATCAACCAGAGCATTGAAAGAATCTCTAAGGTTTTCAGTTAATCTACCACTTATTCTTTACAAACAAACCTTGAACAAAGCTAGAAAGTAGAATATACCCAGCACTGCTGATTGCATGGAAAACTTGTATTTATTAAACATATGTACCTGTCTGAGGAACATGTACTGTGGATCCTCCTGGCCCTCTGTGACCTTGTCTCCGAACTCCTTCATCTTGGCATACTCGGGTGCGTATGCGTCTATCTCGTCTTTGAGCTGCTGGTGCTGGTTGAGCAGCTTCTCTGCATCAGCGAGACTGTTGGGAATGTCCTCGGAGGCCACCGTTGTCTGTGTCCTCGACAGCCACTGCTGGAAGTGGTCAAGGTTGCCGAGGAAACGCTGGAGCTCTCCTGCCTCTCCTAGTTTCTCATCTCTATCTTTCAACTGTATCATACAAGGGAAATGCATAGTGCATAATTTCAGATCATTAATACTGAATGTGATCTCCAGTGAATTACACATATAATTTCTATTAATATATACCGGTTACTTGTTCTAAATTCCTCTTATTAAATTACAACGTATATATGGCAATATCAATTGATCTTCTTCAATACACTTCCAACAGAATAATGTCTGAAAAGACTTTACCCCTTCACAGGGAATTCTGATCTCCTGATATTTTAAAATTTTATCACTGTTTTTGTCCCAAAGCTCAAGGATCTCACCATGTCCTTGAGATCCATCCAGACATTGTTGATCTCAGCAATCTTCTCACGGATGGCTGCTGCCTCATCCGGCTTGTCATCCTGTAATTTCTCAGCCTCGTTTTGGAGAGATTCCAACTGAAACAGCAAACATGCTCAGTTACACAAGGAAATTGAACTATGCCCCTTTTTCTCCTTATAACAATTCCATCAAAATTGTCATAAAATAATTCTTGTTTTGAATGTAAAAGATCTCCTCAAAAACTGATTTTTTATTACTTCTTCTATTTCTACATGTACTAAATGAGGACACCAAGTATGAACAACATTAGAAGTGACAGATGGTGACATTGATTCGGAATCCTTTTAATAATATCACTTCATATATACATCATGTACCACCACAATAAATACTGGCGGACCAGAAAGGGCAATAAAAATACATTTTTGACAGTATATCCCCACTATTTAATTTTAACAAAAGTAACCTTGACCTTAGAAATATGTTAAACCTTTATGGCACATCTACATTTAAAAGTCTTATCAGCATGGGAAATAAGAGAAATTTTAGACTTCTGGATTGGGATAATCTGGGAATAAAAGTCTGGACAAACACTGAAATTTCTATAGAGCATTTCCATCTCTGACATGGGGCCCGATTATCATTGAAAACACTGTTATAATGTCTCCATACCTTTCATAGAACATAAAACAAGCAAGATTTACGGAATAGTTGATCGACACCCTGACAATGTTTACCTTGGCCTGGATGGCGGCGAGGTCTCTCTCCATTCCGCTGAGCCTCCTCTGGAGTGTCATCACACCAGACAAGTCGTTACCCAGCTCATCAGTGGATTCTATAACCTTAGCCTTCTCATGAATCCAGCTCTGTACAAACCACAACATTCTCAGTGAATAGTTGGTAAAAATGCAACCGTATCATACTGTAGAATACTGATCATTAAGCCTTCGAACAATGTGGAAAATATACATTCTGAATGATGACATGTTTTTTCAATGACTCTTCTATTAGTAATAGCTACTTACTCTTGCATTTTGTTATCCAGAAAATCTTTTTTTCTTCTTTTTTTATGAAACCAAAAACTTTCCAGATTGAAACTTCTCTTTGAGTACAGAGTTGAAACTTTTATCAGATTTACACAATGATAACCCGAATGAAACATGCAAAAGATGAGAAGGAAAAGAACCCTATCTATCTGAGACCTCTATTTCCCAAGTTGTCAAGTATATTAATATTCTGCCACAAACTTACGATAGTTTCATTGCACTCAATATGGAAGTTCTGGAGTCCATGTGCAAGGTTGATTTCTTCTCTCTTTTGGTCCACAAGATCACGGAGATTGTTCCATCTGAAATTGACATAGACAGAACAATGATCCACAAGACTTCAACGTTCTGGAGTTCTAGTCTCCAAACCTTACATCAGACTGAAAAGCTGTACAATGATTTTGTAACTAAACTCAGTTTTATGCGTTACAGATTCAATTAATCAGATAGCTTTCCATTTATTCAGAGTTCTCTGTATTCAGAGGCTAGAGCATTTTACTTTACTTGTGTCAAAGCTAACAGAAGTCAGTAAAATGATATACATGTACTCTTAAACAAACAGGTACGAGTTGGTGACCAGCTGACAACCGGCTACTTACTCTCCGTTGAGCTGGTTCTGTCTGGCGATAACTTCGGAGGCGTTGGGATGCTCTATTTGGAGAAGTTGACGTGCCAGTTGGTTAACCACAGCCACCTTGGAGGCATTAGCATTCATCTCATGCTCGAAACTGTCGAAACGGTGCTTCATAATCGCTAATTCCTCGATATCATCTGTGATGATAATTGTGGTCAAGAATTTCTCCTGAATAAACAGAAAAGAAACATTTAAACAGGGTTTCTCAGACATGTATTTTTAACCAAAATTTAACATTATTTCCCCCTTTTTGTCTCAAAAAGTATTTTCGAAGTATGTACCACAACAACAAAGCAAATGCATGATTCAATTCTAAATTATACTAAATACAATTTACATCTGAACTTTTATTACTATTACAATAGATCATCTTAAATACTCCTTTTCACATTGAAATCCTATGGCAGTTCATTGCAATATATATGAACTTATACAAAAACTACTTCAAAGGTTCCTAGTCCTAACAACTCTGACAATTTCCGATTTATATTTCCCATTATTCTATCTGAAGACTTACCTTCTCATCGATCCAGGTGTCGACACCATCAGCCTCGTTAACCAGCTTGTAGAGGGACAGGGCGTCCAGGAGTCGCTGTTTTCGGAGTTTGGCCAGCTCCAGCAGTTCCTGGTAACGTCTGTCGATGCTTCCAAGTCTGTTCTGTACATCAGGAGATTCACGATCCTAGAAAGTAATGGTGAAGTTTTAAGACTATTTCCAAAACAGAAATAAGCAGAATCGAAATTAAAAACTTCATTAAAATAAGTCTGTCACAAAAAATGCCCTGTGTACAGTTGTAGGTCAACCAATTGAACATACATTACCTCCCTTACACCACTACCGTCAACACAACTCATACCTAAACAGCATGTGAAAGCTGTAAATCACCTACTTCACCAGGCGATGTCTGATGTCAGAGTAAATGGTCACGGTGTCCTGCTGATAGAGGCACTACTGTCTATTCTCAGCAGAATTCATTATATTACTCTCGACCAAACATACAGGAAAACTCTTAAACACTAATTTTGATGGAACCTCAATTGTTCACGATCACCAGCTATCCTGGCATCCTTATTAGTGTCATATACTCATTGATGTCATACAGACTGTTACAAGTCCTAGACAGAGGCCTTTTTCAAACATAGTTTTATAACATTAATTTGGAAAGAGTAATAAACTGATGCATGGTTTGTGTAAAAAATTCATTGCGAGTCCACCACTTAAAGTGGAATGTTTATTTGAAAACATGTTGTAAAGTTTGGTGACTCACTTGCTCTCCCAGGTTGGCTGCCTGTTCGTGCAGAGCGGCGATGGTGCTCTCGTAGTTCTTCAGCTCATCAGTTACTTCCTGTAAATAACAAGTGTACTTGTTAACTTATTATATCTGTATGGAAGCCATGACAAGTCTGGTCAATAAATCCTACTCTAGTAGGTAGTACTGGTGTGAGAGGGTTCAGAGGATCATTACCAAATACAGATTACTTTATATTACAGTAAGACATTGTTGGGAAAATAACTGAGAATTAACATTATATAAGATATAAACTCAAACCCTTTGAAGACCATCAGGCAGATTTTGTCAATAACAACCATAAAGACCCAATCATACGTAACTGCTATATTTTTTATCAAAGTTGCCTAGACACTGGAGATAAGAGTAACACACACTTACTTTGTGTTTCTTGATGAGAGACTGGACACTGGCCTCATCTTTGCCGACATCCTCACTGGACACCAGACGAAGAGTATCCAACATCCAGGCATCCACATCATCAGCATCAGCAAAGAACTGAAAATACACACCAGGCAAATGAGAAATGGGTACTTCATCTAAGTTACACATAGTGATAAACATTGTTAAGAGAATACCATCTACATCTTTAAATGTAGCTATCAGCAAAACCAACAAGAGGCCCAGGGCCTTAATAGCTCACCTGGTATTTTATTTTTCAATTTAAAACCTGCTGAGTACCATTCAGGTTTATCAAAGGAGTACAAGTAACAAAGTTGCATCTTCCATTTATAAATATTCAATTCCCTTTGCCCAAAGATTCTCTAAAACAAGTTTGGTTAGGTTAAAATCCCTTCAACGGTACAGAAGGAGAAGGATCTTTAATGTTTTCCTCTATTTCCCCTAATGGGCCCCACTAATCTGCCCCAAAGAAGGGGAATCCACACACCTCAGTTTAAACAAAATTGATTCTTTTCTCCCTAAGCATGCTTCAGACTGCATTTGGTTTAAATCCCTTCACTTATATAGTAGGAGAAAAAAAATCCTCTATTTCCCCTATTGGGCCCCGCTCCTATGCCGCCAGAAGGCCCACACCCTCCGTTTATACAAACTTGAGTCTCCTTTTTCCAAAGATGCTCTAGGACAAATTTGGTCAAAATCCTTCAATTGGTTGAGGAGAAGATTTTTAAAGTGGGGTTATACCCTCCGTTTATACAAAACTGACTATTCAGGACAAGTAGCATTTTAAAGGAAAAAGTTGCCGGACGCCGGACGCTGCACCATGGGATAAGCTCACTTGGCCCTTCGGGCCAGGTGAGCTAAAAATAAAATCAACAACCTTTCACATTGATAACTACACCTGTAGTTTTAGTGTCAACAAATTAAAAAAAATAACCAATATAGCAGACGAAGAAGATTTGGTTTCTATCATTGTTTTCCCAGCCTACCTGGTAGTAGTCTACGGCCTCGTTGAGCCTCTTCTTGCGGTAGGCGGCCAGGTCAATCAGTGTCTCCCACTGCTGGTTGATCTCATCAATACGTTCTTGTATTCTATCAGCCCCGAAATTGCCCGCAGTGATGAGATCATTGCCGACCTGGAGAACGGACTGTAAGTGGGTGTGTCTAGCTGTCATCTCATCTTCCATGGCCTGGAAATATAAAGATTTCTTGTTTATGTTGCTCTATAAATGATAGAATTGAGGACCCCTACCTTCCATGAAACACCACAAACAGGATTCATGTATTCATCTACCTAGTTTACCAGGGCCATGATATATATATAACAACAACATTAAGGAAACAATAGGATTAGGCACAGGCATTGCCTATCAAAGCCTTTTCAAGAACAAAGAGCATACATCCAAGTGTTTTGGTAATGCAATAAAGATTGATTTGAAATCAAATGAAATATATATTCCCAAGCAAAGTCATTTGAAAATGGAATTCCATCAAATGAAACAATCAGGACAATTACTCATACATGTTTCACTTGCTGACTTTTATTATTGTCTTAAAATGTCGAGTTTTTCGTTAATTACATTTAAAACATACTGCTATCTTTGATTTGGTTTGAAGGTCATAATTCTTGGTTGGATCTGAATAACTGTAACTGTCATATAACCATACCCAAACAGAAACATACTCCCTTTTTTTTAGATAAGCAGAAACAAGAGAGTATGGCATTACAAGTGTTACCTATATGCTTATGTTTTACAGGTAGGTCTAATTAATTCAGTTATCAATAGCAATGCAGGTATACTGCTTGGGAATATCAGGAACAATACAGTTGGTTGTTTGCAAAAAAAAAAATTACAATTTTTTTTTTCTTTATTTCATTGCTTCTTGTTAGGAAAGGAGTGATCTCTCAATCCTGGGCAAATCAAGTAAGTTGGGGTGAGAAAATTAAACTATAAACTTTTAGCGGGATGTAGCACACCTTCTGTTTGTTAAGCAGCAGATGAACACTGGTGAGGTCGTGACCGAGCTCTGGTGAGGACATGAGTTGTTCCTTCTCTTTAATCCAGCTCTCCTCGTCAGCCATGTCCCAGTAGAACTGCCACAGTCGTCGCGACTCCTCCAGTCTTGCACGACGTTCAGCTGCAAGGTTCAGCAGCTCAGAATAGGAATTTTCCAGTGTCTTCATGCGCTCCTCAATGACCTCTGGCTCGCAAGGTTTGTATCCTGACAACCAATAATGTACAGACAGGGCTAGTGAACAACAAACACGGTATGTAATATTTACATCAATATTGTGAGACTGGAGGGTTAGGTTAGTGAATGAAAATTGCAAATCAAAGCAGAATGTTATGTTCATGTCAAAATCATCACCATCATCATTGTTAAATATCTTTTGTTGGTAGTTTTTATGAGCTGTATAGAAAGTTCTCCATGTAGAGCTCGATGGATTCCAGGTATCCATAATGTAATCAACTACATCTACTCCTGTTGCCGTCTTACCTCCTGCCTCGGAGACGTCTCCCTTGACAAATCTGTCGGCCTGTGTGTTGACGGTCTTGACCCTCTCTCCCAGGACGTGGATGTCGGCCTCTAGCAGGCTGTGTTTCTGTAAGAGGTCCTCCACACTCATCAGGTGCTTGCCGTAGTCCTCTGACATCAGACGTGCCTGTAACACATCACGCAATGTAAACAGCTATCATACAGCCAAAGGGGTAAATTAAATATTGTCTAAATGAGAACCAGAAGTTTTCCTTTTATGCAATGTCAAGTATATTGGAATTTACCATACAAATTTGATATTATCAACAATCTGTTTGAAACATGTAATTTGTTTTCAGATTTTTTTTCTCTCCATTTAATAGATTGATTTAAAACAACCACAATATTTTATTCAAAGGCAGAGAAAAACAGGAGAAAATCAAATCATTACCAGCTGATTTGTTAAATAAATACCAATGGAGAAGATGGAAGGAAACTCACCTTGATTTCCTCGGTCCAGTCTAGGATGTACAACATTTCTTGGAAGATTCTCTGGAGGTTGAGAGACAATTCCAGCCTCATACGACGTGCTCGCAGCAGTTCTAGTAAGTAGTTCCATAGACGGAGAACATTGTTCTTTCTGTAACAGTGATAAATGCCATTAGTTCTAACTACTTCTAACAAAACTTAAATAAAGATTTTTAACATATGACTTTGTTTCTACCAGGTCAAAAATATCTCCCAGTACTTATATCTTCGTCACTAAGAACAAAATTATTCTGTGTAATTTTATATTTGTTCAATAATCAAATGATGATATTAATTTTGTCTATGTCAAACTTACTTATCTTATTTATATCTAAGAACTCTCTCCAATTATGTAATTTTTCTTCAACTGTTTCTTCCCAATGAAACATCTACTTTTTAACAACAATATGACAACAACTGAGTCCCTGATCCATACCTAGCAAGGATTCTGTCGATGTCGTGGTAGTTCTCCTGTTCCAGTTCAACGGCCACAGAGACGACTGCCTGGACACGCTCCTCATAGGCGTTGATGTCTGTCTCAATGGCCTCATGTTTCTTGGTGGCAGCCTCCACAGCAGCCAAGTCGAAACCGAAGTTGTCCTGAGAGACGAGGCGTTGGTTCTCACTCAGCCAGGTCTCACGCATGCCCGCCTTACGGTCAAATCTGGCCGCAAGCTGGTCAAGCTTCTCCTGTCTGTTAAGTAAAACAGGTTTGTGTCAATATTCAGAGCCAGAAACCTGATCATACCAAGAAGGTTCTATTTAAATTTCATTTATTTATATTTTGGCCAGTGAAAGAATAACTAAAATGGGCCTTATAAATGTCAATAGCTTCTTAATGAGAAGATCTCAAGGTAAAATTAGAATAAAATTACATCCTGTCAGTCCAGCAGGAACTTCCATACAACACTTCCTACAATGTACAATAGACACTACAAACTGACTACAATCACACTAATTCTCCATACCCAGATCTGATCTTATATTCGAGTGCTATCAATTTTTTGGAATCTGTATATGGAAGGAATGGTGCCATACCTGATCAGCTCTTCTCGGAGGGCCAGTTCCCTCTCGTGTTCTGCCTTTTCCAGACGGTCCCACTGTTTGTTGATGTCGGAGATGAGCTTGCCCTCCCTTGGAAGGTATGGCCTTTGGTTGTTAGCTCTCATTTTACTTTGAAGTGTGAACAGTAAAATTTCCAGGTTTCCTTTTTCATCGAATCTGAAAAGGCAAGATATTTTGTTAAATTCTTTTTCTTAAAATGTTCATGTCCAAATCATATAGGGCTGAATATAAAAAGTAAAGCTTATGCAATGTTTCCAATGTATTTCCAATGTATGCTAACATTATGATATTAAAAATTATACCATTAAGATATTATTACATTAGAATTAATAATATAATCCAATTAAATTCTCATTAAGCAGCAATGGTCGTCTTACTTTTTTGGTTTCTCCCTAGTTCTGTACGTGTTGAAGGCAGATAGTTGTTGCTGGACCCCTGTGAGTGAGTTAGCAAACTGTCTGTCATTCAGGATCACAATGGTTTGTTCGATCCATTCAAGAAGATCTGATGTGAAGGTCTCGTAGTCGTTTACTAGTCTGTCAGAGTCAAGGGCGTTATCAATTACCTAAAAAAAAATACAGTAATAATAGATTAAAATGTTCAAATAACAAACAAAAAACACAAGATGAGCATCGTTATTAGGATATTGTTATGCATTAAGATTAATTAAGATTGTCCAATTTGTCTATCATATTATTTTATTTACAGGAGTGAACATGAAGAACAAAACAGCACACATGAAACACTGTGAAGTGAGTCTGCTTTTAATCACAGCAGTCTGTAGGTAACATTTAATCTACAAGGTTTGGTCGTGACTCAGGTATGTTCTTTTGAGTTACATGGTATCATTGAGGATCATGTGTTTTTGATCTTAGCATAACAAATTGTCACTAGATATTTTTTTTAAAGTGTGATGATTGCTACTAAGTATGTGATAGGTAGGATTTTTCCAAACTTCTTTTTTCATCCACATGTTATTTCTAAATTATCAATCAATGTATTCTGTGTTTTTATTGATTCACTTGTTTTTCTTTGCTTCATACTTAAATTTAACGTGACCAGATTGTACTCAGAGGCCACCTGTAGAGTGAGTGTATGTACTGATAAACTTTACAATATAGGACATTTCTAGGTACACACTCAATTCTCAACTTTGAAAACTTGTACAATATTTGTGAAGGTAAATATTTACTGAATTTTGGGAAATTCTTTAGTCTTAGTTATAAAGGAAGTTTTGGAACTCTTTCATGGATAGCTATTGCTCTTTCATGGATGCAAAGGAAACTGGACTTGTTTGTGTTTTGGGAAAGATGAAAGTAATGATGTGTTGATTGGCTTTTTGCGAGTCGAGCCAAACCGAGTGTGGTGAACCTTTATAAGCGAGTGGGGTGTACCTTGCCGATCCTCTTGCCCTGGACAGATTCCGCCTTCATTTTGGAGAAGTAGTGGTAATAGGTAACAACATAAGTAATAATTGACTTCTCATCAGGGAACTCAACATTGATGTCTGAAACAAGAATAGTCCTCATTAGCCATATCAGCATATACCAACTACTGGCAACGGGTGTAATATGGAACAAAATGGCACGAATAAAACATCAAATAATATGCAAAATTATCCATATATTTCATTATGTATATAGGAAATACCAATGAAGTACATGACAGTATACAAGTTTTCAGAAGTTTGTCAATTCTTCTTCTACACTTAATCACTTTAATCAATCTAACACTTAGAACTTCAGTTAATATTATATATACAACTTTACTGAACAGGATATTGCATTTAAAGTTTGATCAAAACCTCAGAAAATTTACCGTAACAGGATCTAATAATTTCTAGTTCTTAGACACAAAGAAGTTTTCCAATCTTTAATGGATCACTAAAATTCCCCCAACACTTGAGTTTACTGTAACAAGATCTAGTTCTTTCAATACTTAAGGGGATTTACCATAACAGGATAGCATAGCAATTTCTAGTTCTATCAACACTTGAGGGAATCTACCATAGCAATTTCTAGTTCTATCAACACTTGAGGGGATTTACCATAACAGGATAGCATAGCAATTTCTAGTTCTATCAATACTATCCATAAAGAATACAGTTCCATCAACACTATAGGTGATTTACCATATCAACTTCTAGTTTTTCTTATGGACTTTTCTGTAACAGGATATTATCCTAATTTCTAGTTCTATCAACATTTCAGGGGATTTACCGTAACAAGGTATAATAACAGGGGAGTGATATAGCAGGAAACACAACAAACCGGTATTGATAGCCGTTTTATAGTGTCAACATCTCTCACTTCTATATAAAACAAAATCATTCAATCTTTCCTTGCTAGCGAATCGATAAAGAAATCAAGGCTAGGTCTCCTTTTTAGCTTTTATTTTTTTACTGATTGAGAGATTTGATGTTCATTGATGCACTGCTATGCTCAACTGATCATGTATTGTTACAAAATGCGTCCGTCTGCAGCCGAACAGCTACCAGGGGCGGCAGTCACAGGGTCATGTGACCAGACACTGAGGTAAGCTTAGGGGCGGTGTAAATAGTGTAACTACAATGTAACTACAGTAATCAGCCATATTGTTCCCACATTGCTTGGCAAATGTCGTCTGCTTCACATGCATGTGATTAAGTATAATTGCATGGTCTGGTGTGGCTACCAATTTGTCAGCAGGCAGATGAACAGGATACTAGAAACAAGAGCACATCAACCTCACAAAAGATAATTGGTACGTTTAGCCCCCAAATCTAAATACAAAATCTGCAAAATGCAACAGTGATGCACAGTGGGAAATTCAGTAAATACCAACAACAACCCTCCCTTCAAACAGGTGGGATGACATGGACAGTAGAAAAGTTTTCCTATTTTATCAAATTTGGACAAATTTACAGGGACACAACTTATTGTTCTAGAAAAGACAGCCTAGCCATATCAATCACAGAAGAACATTCAGTCAGACTACGCAGTCATGAGATTTCCATAAAAAACAAATTTTATTTGGGCATAATGACTCCCTGAAGTCTAACAAAAAATGTTTCATGAATGTGTACAAAATGAGTCAACTTTGCCACATCGGGCTGGGGGAGTACAACAGCAGGACAGTTACACCACTGATCATCATTGATCAACACAATGTACCTACACTGGTCATTAGTGATCGATAGCCTACCGGAACGGACACCTACCACCTCTATCAAAATGAGGGACACCTACCACCTCTATCAAAATGAGTTAACTCTACCACCAAATGGCAGAAAGTTACATATTACTGTATTATTGAAATTTTATAATTGGCCAAACATTTTTGTCAGACAAGCTTGTCAGAGCTATGTTTAGCAAACATAGGCCTGTGCCCTACCATTCCACATGCTTATGCCCAACTTCTAGAAATCTTGTATCATTGGAATGCAGAATGAAGACAAGAAAGAAAGCAAAGAATAAAGAAATATGAGAAAAGAAAGTAAGAATTGAAAGGAAACCAACCTTCTGGGTCCAAAAGTCTGGCAAGTCCCAGCTTTTCCTCAGCAACTTCAAACGCATTGTCCAGGTTGTGGAGAGCGTTAGATTTCTGCAACTTTTCATACTTGATGAGGTCAGGTCTAAAACAGTCAGAAAACCTTCACATCAGACATTTGTTTTATACATGTATACAGGCAAATATCTCAGCATATTCCAAATTTACCTACTGGGAAAACTACTCAAAAATATATACATTCAAGAGAAGCAAATCAATAAACCAGTCAATTTATAATGGATTTGACTTTGTCCCAAGTAATGTCTCTAAAAATAGAGTTAGGAACATTTGAACCTTATACTGAATTATTTTCACAGTAGTCTTATTTAAGTGGGGAGATTGATGCAGGAGACTTAAATTGTATTGACATTTTTTTCCTGCAATAGATCTTACTGTAGATCTGAATACAAAATGAATTGAACATCACAGGCAGTACTGCAATTTTGGTAGCCTTTTTGATTGACACAGGGGAAATACATTTTTTCCCGACAGAACTTGCAATATGAGCAAAGAACCAACTTTATCCAATATTTGACCTCAATATTTTGTTTGTTTATATCCAGGCCCCACACCAGCATGGAACAATTAGTTTGGTTGGTTACTACAATGGGTCTAACAGATACTGTGGCTCCACATAACAGTTACAGCCATCTTATTGATTGGCATAACAGCAGACATAATGAAGTTCATGGGCAGAATACATCAGTTGTGTTTTAACCAGCCTAGGCTGTGACATCAACACTGGTGGCTCAACATAACCAGGTCACGGTTTGTAAGCTGGGCTGTACCCCAGGTTGTGTTTTGTTTCTAGTCAGGGTTTGTAAGCGGGGCTGTACCCCAGGGTGTGTTTTGTTTCTAACAAAGCTGGCATCACATGGTATATAAGTATGATTTATGGTCAGATGACACCAGGTGGATGGACCAAGCACCATGATCACCAGATACCTGTATTATTATCAACAGGTATCACACCTGTGTATCGTCTTCAGGTGTCACAGACAACAAAAGGATACCTGTCTACTATTATAAAGACCACGTTAGTTCTCTTAAGGTAGAAAAGATCAATAGTTAACAAGCCCCAATCTCTTTACTCTATTGTTAATTGATATTAAGAAGTATAACAGGTTACCGTAGTTGATGTAGTAAGCACCCACACTTCAAGCAATGCCCTGAACAGATCACTTAAAATTTGAATATCTGAGCACACATCTTTCAAAAGATGTTAACAATGCAGTCGTAGGTGACCTAAAGAAGATTTCTTTTAAGTGTATAATAATAGTCATAATTGGAAATCAATGTATAGTACAAATCACAAATGTACATAAACAACGATACAAAAACCTGTATCACAGGTCTGATACAAAATCACTCCGTATAGACAATGAAAAGCAAGCTAATTCAGTTAGAGCACCACAACATAGGCTAATAGGTGCACTTGACGTGGTTTTTATCCAAACAGGGCATTGAGGGACCAAATATGGACAGGTTTACAGTTTGTACATGGTGGTAAGCCTGACAATGTGAGACAGTTATTACCTGCCTAGATGTGATGGGTAAACACTTGACAACAGGCTAAGTACACAGGATAAGGTAGAGTAAGACCCTCTACTTTATACTCCATGTTAACACAGTCGACACAAAAAATAAGGCAAATCTTTAAAGTCTGTATTCCAAACAGCATTCTACTCTGGTGCTGGATGGGACAGAGATGGTCTACTTGAGGCACTGTATACATACATAAACCTGTGCTTGTCAGTAAAACTACTTATCTTGACAGCTTAGGGGCAGAAAACACAGCAGCACTGTATCTCACCTGGCACACAACCAGATGTGAGAGCTGTAGGATCTGTAGCTGCTTTACTCATTGTTCCAGCTGTCCAAACATCTGATTTCAGATATTAATACTAATTCTATATGTACACGACTGTTACAGAATGATAATGTCACAGAATCCATTTGTATAATCATTTACATTAAAATAAATGCACATCTTAGCCCCCAAATGGAGACATTTTTAAACTATATTTTTTAAGCAGACACATGCAAAGGCTACATGATGTGCTAGGTTTACACTATGTTTACCACAGAAACTATTTAAACAGGGCTTGTATTATACCACAGAAATATTATCTAATGGAAGAATGTAATAGTGATTATTAGGGTAAGTGATCTTGACCTGTGCCCTCTGACAGCTGTAACAACCCTGCTACGTACATAGGTTTCCCTAGTAATTTGTCTGGTAGTGAAACATTCCCCCCTGAATTATGGCTACAAGATGGAATCTGACCAGGAAAAATGCTAATCATGTAGATTGTAGCATATGGGACACTGTAGGAATGGCCTGTGATGATCCAGCTGGTAACACATGCTGGTTACAGGGTATAATAGACCAAGGCTGGAACACATCTTCTAAATCAAATTCTTCTAAAAGTTGTTCAATAAATACAAGGTACTCCAGATTATCATATTTCCTATTGATTATCAATGACACAGTGTGGGAATATCATACATTGTATTGTAAGGTTAATCTGATCCTACACCAACCCCCCACCTAATGATAAACCCACCACAGCACATTCCATTCATGGCAGGTCTAACCGACCAGAAACACAATATAAACAACAGTTCTCTGGTCAAATCTGGTCGACCACTACTTAGACCAGCAGTTCAGTTTTGATAGCATAAACTGAATTGCCTAAACTCTTACTCGAATCCTTAATAGATAGGCTTAGTTCACTATACCCAAACATACAGTATTTACAGTTAGTAGTTAATGTAGTTTATCATCTATTGTTTATGTTCATACAAGGAACTCCAACTGTCTTCCACTGACATTAGATGGACTGTATAATCAAGTAAATAAATGAACTAGGAACTACACCGTCAATATTCATAGATTATAGTTGTTGTGTCCACACATGCAGGCTGCCAAGGACATGGGCAAGTTATAGGTAGGATGAGGTCACTGGATGTTTCACAAGAAAAGCAAGTAATGAACAGACATTTATTTTTGTATTTTTATAGTGGAGTTTATCTATCCATATTAAACAAATCATATTTTTTTTTTTGACGAACCAACCCAATTGATGGGATAGGATCCCAAACTAGCCTGATCTGTGTTTGTGTGTACAAGGTTTCAGTGTAATGAGATAACCCAAGAACACACCCTCTCCTCTCAGCTGTATAGAGATAAGTTATCAGCCAAGTTATCGGAGCATATTTTTTACTTTTATCTAATGATCTACCAGTTGTACCTATCATCTCTGATACAATCAGAACAGGCCATGTTCATAGGTGTTGTTACTACTACAGCTTGGAATCAGCGCTCTTTATTATTAATTCCAATACACACAAACATTAAATTGCTTTTATGACAGAACTCTTCCCATTCATGTTCTGGGGGATTGTATGCCTGTAGATAGGCCATCAGGGACAAGCTAACACCAGGACTCCACAATCTCCATCTCATCATCTGTATACACATCGCAAACTGTGGAGCACTGTAATCCACTTCCAGCAAAATATAGGCGTTACCATGGAAACTGGGAATAACTTAGTAGTACCTTCAACATTCCTGTGCAGACATGCTGAGGTTAGGAGCCCACATACCAGGTGGCATTGATAATGGCCATTTTTAACACTGGCCCTTTGCCATGCATACTAGTTGAGGAAGATCATAGATGGCCCCTGAAGACTGGGAACTTTAGGGTTGGGTTGGCGTCAGTGCACTTTGAAGTTTGTTCCAGAAATTTTGAGGATGTATGTATCGTATGAAGAGTGTGTGGGTCTACCTCAATAAAACTCCCATCTCCATAACATTGTCTCTCTCCTGGTCAGGAAAATGGCACAGGCTCTATACACTATTATATGTAGCCGTTAGCAGTGACCAATCGCGAAACCAATAAGGTGAGGGGAAGTCCAGAGGATAGGATAAAGGAAGGAGGAGGACTGGGAGGTCCAGTGGATAGAATAAAGGAAGGAAGTGGACTGGGAGGGGACCAAAGAGGAGACAAAAAAGTGGAGTGTGAGGTCATAGAAGGAGTGGGGCAGTGATAACCAGTAGTGCACTAGGACCTGGCATCTTGTTCCCTGTTGAGCCTGTTATCTGTTGTGAGACCATCCATTGTGTAATGTTACATCAGCGTAACTCCTACCCTGGCTGTGAAATATACTGTACACTCATACAACGCACTGTCAGATCTACTGTACACTCATACAACACACTGTCAGATCTACTGTACACTCACAACGCACTGTCAGATCTATGGTACACTCATACAACGCACTGTCAGATCTACGGTACACTCATACAACGCACTGTCAGATCTACGGTACACTCATACAACAAACCACACCCTACCGATAATACACATTTCTTCCAAAAACTCCCCACACAATTTCTGGTGGTGTTGTCAACTTATAGTTTAGAAAATCTAGCCATGATGACAAGATAAACAACAAGCAAGCCACAGATGTCTGAAGGCCATATCCAGTAAAAATACAACATTTCCATCAACATTAATTCATGTATACTATATACTATTAAGAAGCCATCTGAAAATGCTACCCACACATTGTCTACCACCATTATGATACATCAACATAGCCACAGAAATGGTTTTGTTTACAAAACATAGATGAACACATACTGCCGATATTACCTACTAGATAAAGGATACCAGATCTAAGGGACAACACATTTTACATACATTTTCCACCAATGATTCATTTAATTATGGGTAAACAGAAACCTGGTGCTTCAGCATGTATCACTACTTAAGGCCTTGTATAAGCTGATAACATCTATTTTGATCAAAGATTGTGTTTTTTACATCCTTTATAACTTGTTACATAACACCCAGTATGTAAGAACTTTTCGTTGAGAATAAATTAAATAAAACTTAAGTGTGTTTGTAAGCATGCTCCACACATCCAATTCAAACTATTATTCTCAACAGAAGGAATCTGGCAACCGTTCAGCTGATAAAAAAAGGCATTTCCTGACTAGAATATTTAGGAGACAGAATGGGATACACAATTACAATGACAAGAGGGGAAGGCAAGTTTTAAACAGCAAATACTGAC